TAGTTTTCGGAGTGCAGGTCTTTTGACTCCTTAGATAGGTTTGACTCCTTAGATATCACTTATATGTGGAATCTTAAAAAATGATACAAATGGGGCTTCCCTGGTGGTGCAGTGGTTGAGAGTCCGCCTACTGATGAAGGGAACACGGGTTTGTGCCCCAGTCTGGGAAGATCCCACATGCCGCGGAGTCGCTGGGCCTGTGAGCCATGGCCGCTGGGCCTGCGCATCTGGAGCCTGTGCTCCGCGATGGGAGAGGCCACAACAGTGAGAGGCCCGCATACCGCAAAAAAAAAAAAAAAAAAAAAAGAAACAAATGAACTTTTTTTAAAAAACAGATACCTAGGCATCTTATTCTTTTTTTTAAATTTTTTTTATTTTTATGGCTGTGTCGGGTCTTAGTTGTGGCACACAGGATCTTTGTCAAGGCATGCAGGATCTTTTGTTGCAGCATGCGGGCTCTTCATTGCAGTGCATGGTCTTCTCTCTAGTTGTGGTGTGCGGGTTTTGTCTTCTCTAGTTGTGGCATGTGGGCTCCAGAGTGCATGGGCTCTGAAGTTTGTGGCACACGGGCTCTCTAGTTGAGGCGCACGAGCTCAGTAGTTGTAGCACGTGGGCATAGTTGCCCCACAGCATGTGGGATCTTAGTTCCCCAACCACGGATTGAACCCGTGTCCCCTGCATTGGAAGGCAGATTCTTTACCACTGGACCACTAGGGAAGTCCCTCTTATTCTTTTTGATGTGATGGTAAATGGGATTGTTTCCTTAATTCTTCATTCTGATACTTCATTGTTAGTGTATAGAAATGCAGCAGGTTTCTGTATATTAATTGTGTATCCTGCAACTTTACTGAATTCATTGATGAGCTCTAGTCATTTTCTGGTGGCACCTTTAGGATTCTCTATACTATCATGTCATCTGTAAACAGTGACAATTTTACTTCTTCCTTTCCAATTTGGATTCCTTTTATTTCCTTTTTTTCTCTGATTGCTTGTCTAGGACTTCCAAAACTATGTTGAATAAAAGTGGCGAGAGTGGGCATCCTTGTCTTGTTACTGATCTTGGAGGGAATGCTTTCAGCTTTTTATCATTGAGTATGATGTTAGCTGTGGGTTTGGATGTGTGTTCTGTATCAGCCCTCTGTCCACATTGTGGATTCCAGGCTGGAATAGCACAAGACGGGAGGCTCTACAACCAGTTCAGGGCAGTTAAGGTCATCTAGGTAAGAAAATTATGAGGACTGGAACTAGGGAGGTGTTTGGGGAGTGTGATAAGTGTACAAATTGGAGAGAGATTAAAGGAGTCCAAATTGATGGGACTTGATGAATTAAGGGATATATAGAGGAGAGAAAGGGAACAGTCAGAAAAGACTCCCATTTCTAATTAGGGCAGATGAGTGGATGCTGAAACAGTCACAAAGGAGACAGAAGGAGAGAGAAGTGGGTTTTGGGGAAAACTAAGTTCATATTTCTATGTGTTGAGCCGGAGGTCTCTGTGGAACATCCTGGAGAAGATGTACAGTTGGCGGTTGATATTCAATGCCGAGGACATGGCAAGCTCTCAATAAATATTTATTGAATGAAAGAACTAAAGGAAAGTAAATATGTAGGGAGAGAGGAAAGGAAAAGAAGAGAAGGTCTGCAGCTGAGGAGACTGATCTAGGCTTGAGATTTAAAATTTATTCACCTACAGATGGCGCTTTAAGCTCTGGACACAGGTGAGATTGTGCAAGGAGAGTATAGATAGAGTAAGGAGAGATGAAGGTTGAAGACAGAAACCCAGAGCACAGACAGTTGAAGGATAGGCAAAGAATGAGTTCTTCAAAGAGAACAAAAAGGGAGGCCAGAGAGGTAGGAAGAAAACCAGGAGAAGAAAGCATTATCTCCAAGAACTGATGGAGCAAGTTTCCTCTTCAGGAGAACAGAGTCAAGAGGAAAAGGAAGACATCTCACATTTTTGTAAACACCTGCTTTATGCCAGCAACTTTATTTAACCCTTGCCATTTAATTATCCCTCCAATCCTAAGAAGTATGAATTATCCCTATTTTATGGATGAGAAAGTTAGGGTGCGAAGATGTTATGGGGGTAAGGTGAAAGGATTAGCCTCGGCATGATGGAAAAGTGCCTGCTCTTCTGAGGCAAGTAGGAAGAGGGCAGAGGAAAAAGCATGAAGGTGGAGAAGGGAAAATCATAGGTGTTCATGTTTGAGGACCTATTTCCTTTGTGCCCTCTTTCACTGCTCTACCTCACACACCCAGGATTCCAGGAAGGTAGTCACAAAGTGGGAGCTGCCCCAAAGGTGGAGTGCTACCTGTACCCAGTACAGACTCTAAAGACCAGCGGCTAGGGGTGGTTTCATTCCAGCTTCCTCTTGGGCTTTGTACATCCATCAGCATTTTCAAAATATTCTACAACTTCATCCACCTTCTATTCTATATATATATATATATATATATATATATTTTTTTTTTTTTTTTTTTTGAGTACTGGCTTTGTGCAAGGAACCATATTGGAAAGAAATACAAAGTTGAGTAAGAGTGCATTTTCTTACAGCGTTCGTCCTAGTGAGGGAAGGGGGCCATGGATTGGTGATTCCATTAATTAGGGTTGGTTTTGCTATGAGTGGCAGGAAACCAAAGTAACAGTGGATTTGGCAAGATAGAGGTTTCTTTTAATAAATTTATTTATTTTTGGCTGCATTGGTTCTTTGTTGCTGTGTGCGGGCTTTCTCTAGTTGCAGCAGGCAGGGGCTACTCTTCGTTGCGGTGCACGGGCTTCTCATTGCGGTGGCTTCTCATTGCAGAGCACGGGCTCTAGGTGCGCGGGCTTCAGTAGTTGTGGCACGTGAGCTTAGTTGCTCTGCGGCATGTGGGATCTTCCCGGACCAGGGCTCGAATCCGTGTACCCTGCACTGGCAGGCGGATTCCTAACCACTGCGCCACCAGGGAAGTCCAAGATAGAGGTTTCTTTCTCACATGAAAGTCCAGGGAATGGCAGCTGCTTGATCATGAGACCCAGGCTCCTTATTCTTCCATCTTCAAAATGCACGTTCCACCTCATGGTCCAAGATGATTGCTCCTGCCCCTGCCATCAGGTCAGCATACTAGTTAGTGGGGAGAAGATAAAGGGACAGAGCCCCATTCCAAGCTCACCCTTCTTTGAAGGGCACTTCCCAGAAGTTGCACATACCACATTCACTCACATCCCATGGAAAGGTGGGAATCTTAGCTTTTTTTTCTTTTTCCCCAAGGTGGACACAGTCCCAGCTAAAAACCATGTGTTCTGTAACTGTAGAAGAAAGGGGAACAAGGCAGTTTCTGCTGTTGATGCTGAAATAGGCATGCAGATAGCTATAGTGCAAGGCTAAAATGAAAGTGTGACAGTTATACGCACTAGCTCTGCGACGTGAGGCAGGTTACTTAACCTTTCTGTGCCTCGGTTTCTTCATTCATAAAACGATGAAGTTAATAGTAGCACCTACCTCTTAGGTTTACCTAAAGGTAAAACCTAAATTGTTACCTATGTGTGTAATATGTTTCATATGTACATACATACATAATGGTTACATAAAGTAAGTTGAAAGTCCTTAGAACAGTGCCTGGCACTTAAGTAAGTGCTATATAGTGTTTATTAAAAACAAAGTAAAAATAAGCACAAATGGAAATTTCAAGAATGTACATATCGGTGGGGAAAAATCTGAAAAAATATCTTATGAAGAAATGTAGAGTGTCAGCTCAGTGATGCCTGGGATGGTCTCATTCCTTCCCTGGGCACCGCCAGCACCTGGCACATTGCCTTGCACAGAGTAGATGCTCAAACTGCTGGTTTCTGAATGGGCTTGAAAGGTCAGTAGTATTTTGTTAGGTGAGTTGGAGGCAAGGAAAATATTTTAGGTGGAGTTACCCATATGAACAAAGATAAAAGGTGAAAACTCACTGTACCCAGCACAGTAGCTGGCATGCACAGCACTTGGTATATGTTGACTGACCACTCAATATCAACTAGTTTGGTTTGGCTGAAATCTGTCGGGTCTAGGCAGGAAGACACATCACTTTAGAGAATTTAATATGGAGAATTGTCACACAGGTGATGAAAGTGTAGGCAACCCAGATATTGCAATAGTAGGAAACCTCTATCACCCCTAGTGCCAGGGGGATAATGAGAGGAGACGGTGTTCCCAGAACCCAGAATCCTGGGGTATCCAATGGTGGGAGGTTGCCTGGTGGGAGGTGGGAGATGGCAGAGCTGCAACCCAACCCAAGGCAGAGAGGGAGAGAAATACCCTGACTTCTTGCTTCTCCTCCCCTTGTCTTAGGTCAGTGTCTCGCTGCAAAGTCATTTGGCATCTGGGAAATGTCATTTCCTGTAGTCGAGAGCAGAGCAGTGAGAGAAATAGGCAGATGTCCCGCACAAATGAAGTTTGGAGCATGAGCGGGGGAGTGATGAATATAAACCCCTGGTGGTGTCATTTTAGTCTTGAATGTCAGATCTTGAATGTAGGGGTTTCCTCATGTTTTGTTAGGCAGAGGTAGGCCATAGAAGGTAAAAAAGCAGAAAGGCATCATTAAAACTGTTTTAGGAAGGCTTCCCCAATGGGGAAGATGGAGAACAGGGAATAGTAGCTTCCCTTTGAGTACCTGTCACGTGCTAGGCACGGTGCTAAGCACTTATTCATCTCAGAAAGATGATGTATCTGGTTCTGGATATGTTGAGTTTGAGATGACGTCACGATACATGTATGGGCGTATCACATAGAACAGGAACTGTGCATCTGGAGCAGGGGTGTAGAAGTGTAAGGATGGAGACTTTGGAGCCTTCCGCGGAGAGGTGAGAGCAATGCAGAAGGAGAGGGAGGACAAGACATTCAAGTTAGACAGTATAGCGGAAGAAGATAAGAGGGTAGGCATTATGGGGGACCAACGAGCAGTGGGCAGAGTAAGAAAACCAGTGAAGGGAAAAAGAATAAAGGGATAGGAGAAGCTGAAAGTTCATCTTCCCGCAGGAGCAAAGGGAAGCTGGAGCTTCAAGAAGGAGAGTCAGGAGTGTCAAATAACATTTCCTCGCCAGAAGAGATGAAGACAGAGGGAAAAGCTATTGAATATAGCAGCTGGATGCATGGAGGAATCGTTTCTCTAGACAGGTGAGGTCACAGAAGGAAAAGTGGGCGTTTCCTTGGCTGGGAGTGGCAGGTGAGAGTATCAGAAAAAGAAAGAAGAAAGAACAAGACTAGTGGCACATACAAAGACATGTCTGACCAACGGATCCAGATTGATGAGGGAGGAAAATGTATCCTAATGGGGGTGGAGGATTGGGAGAATGAGAGGGGCTGAAATACTTGAGATCGAGTTTATAGTCTTTGGAGGTGGGGCCCAGGCATCAGTACTTTTGGAGCCACCTCGAATAATTCCAAAGTGCATTCAAGTTTGGGTTAGAGGGAACTGGAGGGAAGGCTAACAGGATAACAGATTGGGGTAGTCAGAGTTCAGTATCTTGGCCAGTTTCAAGTAAGTCCATGATGGTGACTGACTGAGGTGGAGTGAAATTGAGGGTAACTGGAATTGATGAGATTGAGCTTGAAGGAAATGCAGGCTCATCTTGATTCAAATGCCTTCGGCTAAATCAGGATAATGATTTTCACTACAGGAAAAACCAAGAGTCAACCCTAAAGGACTACAGTCAGGTAAAATATGTGAAAAGCGTTTAAGTTGTGATTCATCCAGCAGTCACCAAAGCACAGGTAGAGGCACTGAGCCAGTTGTTGTGTATCTTTTCATCTCACTTTATTTGACATCCACTCCCTCCTGGCAGGTGAGGGCAGCTGACAGTTGAAGGTGGGTAAAGTGGCAGATTTGGCTAGAAGGGCAGATGTTACAGATAAATCGGCCAAGGTTTTGATGAGCTTCACATTACAGAATTAAATTAAGCCATGACCTGTTATCATTGTCTCATAGCCAGCCATTTTGGTGTGTGTGTGTACACATATATAAAAATGGGAAAAAATAGGTCTTCCTGATAATACCAAGATATAGAAAACTTTTATTAACTACAATGTGTACCTTGTTTTTGTTCTCTTTAGTACACTACTCCTGTGAACTTCCCTGGGTTATGGGGGTGGAGTAGATGTAGGAGGGAGGGGCTGAACAAAACTTCACATAAATTTTTTTTCATATAGATGACTGCGTGCACATATTTCTTTCCTACCATTTAAAAAGGTTGAGGAACACCGCTCAAAGTCATTTATAGTATCCCTCACTGCATATGAGAGCTAAAATTCATATGGTAATTGGATTAAATCTAACCATAGTTTTCATATCCATATTTCATTTTTCTTCCCTTAATGAACAAAACCTCAGAACTTCAATACATTGCATGGGGTTTGAGGTCAGGATTTTGGTGCCTGAAACCTACCAGTTCCTGCTTTGCAATTCTGCCAAGGAGGTTGTAATCATAAGGAAGATGAGCCAATGGAAAAGAGTATACCACTCATGGAACAGCTTTAGAGGAGCAACCCTGACCACAGGATTTCTCAGGTAAGCCGAGATTGAATGACATGTTCCTATCATCGCCTGCCATTCACAGAGAAAGCCTGGTTCAAGAAGGCCCCATGTCTAATTTCCCACCTCGTTTGGAAGAGAGGATGAGAGGCCTGCCCTCTAATAGGGCAAAAGTGACTGACTGCAGATCGTTTCTGACCTCTTAATACAGCAACTTTGTTCATTTGTAAAACTACAGCTCAGTGAGTATCCTGGGCTCACTTCAATCTGGTTAGCAACTCCTCTTCCCTCAGGAGGGGTGACTAGGAAGGAGGCAGGTGGGGAAGAGCAGGACTTCCTAAACACTATGCAGTGCCAAAGTGTGTGGGTCATGTTTTGGCTTTATAGCAATTTCTAAGCTATACTACCATTAAACTGAAGATAAATTTCAATTGTCATCATGCTTTTAAAAGAAAATATTACAAGGTGTCAGGCATGTCAGGGAATGTCTTAGGCCTTCCAGATCTGCTCAGCAGCCCGCTGAATACCACTGAGCGACCTCATTCGATACCATGTAGAGCAAAAATCACCTAGCTAAGCCCTGGCCCACTGAATCATGAGATACAATAAAACAGTGGTTGTTCTGAATCACTGAGTCTTGGGGCAATTCTATGCAGTGATAATTGGAATGAACATACATCGTCCACCACCCATCACCTGAACCTAAAATACTTTTGCCTTTTTCACAGTTGGTGTTCAGTATTTATTGATAACCATTTCCCTTTCAGAACCTCCTCCACTGTTATCTAAAAATTCACATTTCATAGTTTGAGACATTCCAGTTATTTGATAAAACACTGATCTGCTTAAGACATTTAATTGCAGGTCATTCTACTGACCCTGCTTCTGGGAAGCTATTAGAAATTGAAAGCATTCATTCTTCACTTAAGTTGTGTAACAATGAGACCTGAATTTTACATTCTAGTCAGATGCTTGGGGAGTTCATAAATCATTTTGTTTCAATCCTAACTGAACGCTTTCAGTAAGATGTTGTAGGCAGTTATTCTGAACAGTAGCTGTCATTGCCTGAGGGATTGAACTGAATGAGCATCTGCGCATATTCCGGAAGTGGTACTGAAAATTTTCTTCATGTGATATTTTCTTATAATTTGCTATTTCTGAGAGTGGGACCCCTTGAATTTATCCCAGTTGCTCAAAGTTTCATTAAACGTTTCTATACAGCCTTTCTTCCTTTTAAAACCCTGCCATCTATCCTCTGGACAGCCAAGCATGGCCTGTAGTCTGACATCCTAGTTATGAGACCCATGCGACATTTCTTCAGGTCTTAAAAATAGGTGTAATGGTGTTTCTCTAAAGCAGCTGTTTTGTTTTTATATTATGGCAGAACACTGAACACAGAGCTGATTTTTGTGTTAGATGCCAGGAAGCTCAGAGCTTGCCTTCATCAACTGTTAGTTTTCTAACTTCTTCCATCTTCATTTTCCTTTCCCTAATTTCCTCACTTTAGAAAATAAAAAAAAAACTAGCTTTGTAGGCTTTTTTTTTAAAATAAGCTGTCTTAAAAGCATTTCAGAAATCTTTCAAGACCTTAAGGTATTCTGAAGGCCCTCCTTTCATTAGCACACTACATCAGCACTTTGTACACTTTACAATGCTTTTCAGTTGAGAAGTCAATGTACTTCTGATAGTCATTAAGCCTTAAAATAGTTCCCGTAAGTGAACTGAGTTTAGTGACACAAGCCAAAGTCACTAAAACTTTTTCTCAACAGTTGCTTTGCTTAAAAAAAAAAAGACAAATACATACATTATTCAAGTATAGATTTTTGTAGAAGGCTGGGAGCACTAAGAGACTTCGTTCTGACCTTTACCTAGTTATATATATATATATATATATATATATTTTTTTTTTTTTTTTTTTGGTGGTATGCTTGGCTCTCTCTGTTGTGGCCTCTCCCGTTGCGGAGCACAGGCTCCAGAGGCGCAGGCTCAGCGGCCATGGCTCACGGGCCCAGCCGCTCCGCGGCATGTGGGATCTTCCCGGACCGGGGCACGAACCCGCGTCCCCTGCATCGGCAGGCGGACTCTCAACCACTGCGCCACCAGGGAAGCCCATGTTTTGATACTCAGTTTTGAAGATTTAAAATAAATTTGTGAAGAGCACATTTGAGATGAAGCTACTATGCATCTTACCAGTTTTAATTCCTTAAAGTAAATGTTATGGAGATCACTTTAAATGACTTTCAGCTGAAGCATTTATTTCACTGAATAAGTTATTTTACATTCGTTGATAACTCTCTACTTTGTTCCAAGTTACTCATGTGGCTTACAAAAATACATATAAGATTTAAAAAAAAAAAGAATCAATGGAGACAAAAAAAGAGCGTGTTAAAATGTAACTATAATACATTTGACCCTTGAACAACACAGGCTTGAAATGGGCAGGTCCACTATACACAGATTTTTTTCCCCAATAAATCCATACTAAAAAGTATTGATATTACATGATCTGCAAGCAGTTGAACAGTTGGTTCTCAGATGCAGAGCTGTGGATACAGAGGGCCTACTGTTAAGGGTTTCTGACTTTCAGCTGCATGGGGTTCAGTGCCCCTAACCCCCGTGTTGTTCAAGAGTCAACTGTACTCAAAACACGTACTGAGAGCACCTCTAAGGTGGGTTAGTGAGAGGTGAACTTGGCGCTTAGGTTCAGTTCTCGTTCCTCATCACTGCCTTCCAATCCAGAGCTCTAATGCTGCTCTGCGTGGGAAGGATTAGTTCTCCAATCTTGCTTTCCCTGTAAAATGCACTATAATGTACCAAATATTTGTCATAACTGCAGTTTTGAAGTATCAAATAATTCAACCTATTCTAGCATTCACTAGTCAGAAACCAGCATGAAAGTCATGAATAAAGTTGACACACACCTTGAGCCTGAGAAAAAACCGCGTAAGTCCTCAATTGCGCCAAGAAACACCATACAAAAGGATTGACAGCTTTGACTGTTCTTATAGCATAGTAGCATGAGCTGAAGAAACGTTCTACTAACAATGTCTCCTTCTGGAAGAATGTGTAAAGGGTAAATTATTTCTTGTTTTTATATTTAATTCTCTCATAGCAGGTCCTTATTTTACCCAGAAGGCAAAACTTAATATTCTTGGAATAAAAGCTTTTCTATAAAACAGAGAGAGATGTTTCACTAACTCCACCTATGAATGTCGTTGTTTTACTACTAGGCTGCTTATGATCCCAAGCAGTAAACACAAAATAGGAGATTTCTTATTTACTGAAATCCCAAGAAAGCAGTATGCTACAAAACAGACGTCCCGTGAATAACGACATGAAGGAAGCAATAACCCACCAGGAAGCATGAACAGAAATGGCCAACACTTCTTGGGTGTCGTGAGTTGCTTTAGCCAGGATGCATATTTCTGCCACTGGAGATAAGATAGGCTGGGCCACTTTACCTCCTGGCCAAATTAATATTATATTAATACTATTTCACTGGAACGCAATATTGAATCTGGAGAAAATCTATCTTTCCTCCTGTTGCAGTTGCTAAAGAAGGAAAATAGCTCTCCTGCTTCTACCTTTAACCCAGACTTTCCAAGTAGTCTATTTTTTAAGTCCTTTTTATAGCTTCATTTAGTTCTTTGGTCATATACTAACATACACATGCTCCAAGAACACTTTTTTTTTTTGGCGGTACGTGGGCCTCTCACTGTTGTGGCCTCTCCCATTGCAGAGCACAGGCTCCAGCCGCGCAGGCTCAGCGGCCATGGCTCACGGGCCCAGCCGCTCCGCGGCATGTGGGATCTTCGCAGATCAGGGCACGAACCCATGTCCCCTGCATCGGCAGGCAGACTCTCAACCACTGCGCCACCAGGGAAGCCCCAAGAACACTTTTAACATTTCTTTGGTTTCAACTGTGACTGTTACACTGGCAACAAGATCTCTGTATCCCAGCTTCACCAATTTTCTGGACTTGAATGTGCAACTGACAAAAGGGCACCATCTCCCCCCTACACACACCTCTCTACATAATCATTACAATATTGCTCACGTATGTTTGATCATATTACTTTAAAATATTTGAATGTTAGCAAACTTTATATTTTTTAAATGTTTTAAATTTTCTTTAAATAACCAAATGTTGAAAACTTTACAAAAATGTTAAATGACTGAGGTTATTTTCCTTTTTTTCCTCCTCAAAGGGTCTAAGCATGAGTGGATCCTTTGTAGACACCCCTATTTTTATCCCAAGGGGCATGTGATTAATCCTCTCTAAAATCAACTTTTTCCAAAGAGAAATCCCTATATATAAATAGGGCCAGGCTATGTTAATTTGTGTGATGGTTGTGTCAGTTTTCAAAATATCTTTAGTAATAAATAAAGGGGAGATGTAAAATTTTGTGATTTGCTTGGTGAATCTTAATTGCGAAACTTCTTCTTCTTTCGAAACTTCTTTCCTGCTGCATTTGCTGCCTTATCAGCCATAATCTCTGAGTACTTCCTTCGGTTATATCTAAAAAGAAAAACCAAACCTTTAAGTTCTAAAGTATGACACACCAAACATTAGAAGTTAATGTAACCTTTTGGTGGGAGAGGGGGGGCGGCGGTGGGGAGGCACTTCTAAATTTCATGTTTTGTTTTTTTTTTGTATTTTCACTATCTGTTCATCACATCTGCACTAAGTTCCACCACGTGTAAGAAGCCATACTAGGTGTTGCGGACAGAGCAGTGAACCAGCCAGCCATAGTAGTCCCTACCCTCAGAGCTTGCAGTCTAGTAAGAAAAAAACGGCAACGGTACAGGAAGACTTTTGAAAACTTTCAGCCACTGGAGACCCATGCTGTAATTTCTAAGACTGCCATCATGAAGATTACAAAATATAGGTCAATTTTAAGTAAGCAAAGACTCAATCACCTTGTACCACACACCTCTGTGGGGAAGGAAACAGACACGCTTGAGAGATAGGAAAATGGGAGGGACTCTGACAGTCTGAACATGGGACTGAAGGGAGAAGAGGTATTAGGACTTGGCCCTAATGGACAGAGGGTGATGCCGTTTGGTCATGAGATACAGAACACTGGGAGAGGACCAGAATGTACAGGGAGGATGAGGTCAGCAGACCCCAAGTTAGCTCTTAGAGGGGCCTGTGAGATACCCATTAGATATTCCTGAGGCAGTAGCTGGTTATGGGCTCTGGACTCAGGAGAGATCTAGACTAGACATACACATTTGAAAGTCAACAGTATATAGATTAATACAACTCTGTGGGGATGAGATTTCCAAAGAGAGAGAAGTGAGAAAAGAGCATTGCTTGTTTCTAAAAATTTCACCATAAACCAGACTCATAAAATAGTTTACGTAACACTCAAGTTAAACTTGTTTTCCATGTCTATATAATACACCAGTTTAAAAAACCTTGAAAAACATTTTCACTTTTGCTACTAAACGAATCTAGAAGTCCGGCAGAGGTTCCTATATGAGGTATGCTTTTAAATCTATACTATACACATACCTACTTCAAGGACATTTAAACATACTCAAATTGCCCCCATCTCAGGAAAAAAAAAATCCAACTCCATCCACTAGCTGTGACTCTCTCATCTTGCTCACAACCAAACTTCTTCAAAGATTTCTCCCTTATTTCTTCAGCTCACTCTCAAGTACCTTACAGTCTGCTTTCCTCCCCATCACTCCCCTGAAAACTCCTTCTGCCAAGGTTACTGTGACCTCCATGTACTAAATCCAAAGTTTTTAGTTCTTACCTCAACTGAGCTCTCAGCAGCACTTATTACTGTTAGCCACTCCCTCCAGCTTATACCTGCCCGTAACTTGACTTGACTTCCCCCCCACCAATTTATTTATTTATTTGGCTGCGTTGGGTCTTCGTTGCTGCGCGCAGGCTTTCTCTAGTTGTGGTGAGCGGGGGCTGCTCTTCGTTGTGGTGTGCGGGCTTCAGTAGTTGTGCCATGCGTAGTAGTTGTGGCGCACAGGCTTAGTTGCTCCGTGGCATGTGGGATCTTCCCAGACCAGGGATCGAACCCGTGTCCCCTGCACTGGCAGGCGGATTCTTAAGCACTGCGCCACCAGGGAAGTCCCTTTCCTTGACTTCTATGACACTGTGCTCTCCTGGTTTTCTTCATGCCTCCCTGGCTATTCTTTCCCAGTCTCCTTTGTGGGCTCATTCTCCTCTAGTCAGCCAAATACTTTCACGCTTCCCTCTAAAGCAGTGGTTCTAAATTGGGAATGCTTATGCCCCACAGGGGCCACTTGAAACTGCTTGAAGACATTTTCGAGTGTCATGAATTGGGGGGGAGGGGAGTGCACTACTGGCATCTAGTGGATAGACACCAGGGAGGCTGTTAAAGATCCTACAGTGTACAGGACAGTCCCCCCTAATAATTATTCCATCCAAAAAATATAATAGTGCTGCTGTTGAGAAACTCTGTGCTAAAGCATTTAAAAATTGTCTTGAATTTAAAGTTTATGCATATTCTAAGGGAAAGCACACATATTATAAAGTGAAACATAAATTCCTTTACCTTCTGAACTCAGAATCGGCCAGCAGTTCCTCCACAATAGTTCTCTTCCTTTGTTTCCTGGGAACTCGTGAATGGTAGAAGTCAGCTGGATTGTCAACAATGGTTCCAATCTATGAATGATTGATTGAAATAAGTCATGCAATACCTGAAGGCCAAGTATATTTCATATCTCAGGGTAGCTCTAACAAAGTATATTTATAGAAAGTAATGGAAAACACAGCTTACAATTTACCAATATTAAAATTAGTTTTGCCGTTTCTTAAAGAAAAAAGTCACTTATTCAATCTGCACTGGGTCCTACTAATGACATTTCTTCATTAGAGTTTACAGTAAAACCAAAATTCCTTTTATATAAGTGCTAGCCAGTAAATTCTTGATGAATAGTCTAAATAGAGGAGGAAAAGTGGGACAGATAGTCTTTTGTTTTAGTTTTCCAATTTAACGAAATTGACACATACATTCTACTATATACCTATTTGATCTCCTAGGTTATCATAATTGCTGCCAACTTAGAACCTTCTTACTGACCACTCTGCATCTGTTCGTATGTTCAACCAAGTAAAATTTACAATGTCTACTATGTGCCAGGCACTGTGCTAGGTGTTAGGGAAACAAAGACAAAGAATATCTGGTCCCTGCCAGTGAGGGGGCCAGAGTCTTTTTAAAAAATTTTATTTATTTAATTTTAAAATAATTTTTTAAATTAATTAATTTTTTTTGGCTGCATTGGGTCTTCGTTGCTGCTTGCGGGCTTTCTCTAGTTGTGGCGAGCAGGGACTACTCTTCGTTGCAGCGCACAGGCTTCTCACTGCAGTGGCTTCTCTTGTTGCAGAGCACAGGCTCTAGGTGCGCGGGCTTCAGTAGTTGTGGCTCGCGGGCTCTATAGCACAGGCTCAGTAGTTGTGGCGCACAGGCTGAGTTGCTCCGTGGCATGTGGGATTTTCCCAGCCCAGGGCTTAAACCCATGTCCCCTGCACTGGCAGGCGGATTCTTAACCACTGCACCACCAGGGAAGCCCCCAGAGTCTCAAGGAAGATCCAAAGGTACGCAACTAAAAAATTAAAGCATAACTAATATTATGCTGAACAAAACACTCTCGATGCTCTGAAAACTAAATGGCGAATTCTACCGAATGGAGGTAAAGAAGGCTTTACAAAGGATGACATTTTAGCTTGGATTTGTATGGGCAGAATTTCACCAAGCAAACATGGCAGAGCCAAACACTTGTAAAGTCAGAATGACTAGACCAGTCTGTGCATATCCTGAGAAGACTGAGTAGCTGAGTGTGTTGGAGCTTAAGAGGAGACTATGTGACCAAAAAAGGGGTAGTGAGCTGGTTTGGGTGCACATGGTGAAGGGCTACATTAAAGGGTATAGATATAAACTCTATCCTATAGGTTATAAGAATCACTGAAGGTACCATTGAATATCTTGATTATCATTGAGCAGAGGTGTGTCATAAAACAGATTGCTATTTTTTTAAAGGAAAGATGACTGCCTACAATGTAGAGGATGGACCAAAAGGGAGAGCAGACCTGGAGGCAAAGGACTATTACAGTAATCCATGAGTGACAAGAAAGGTAGCCAAGAAGAACGAAATGAACTTGAGAGCTACCAGAGGGTGAATCAATTGGACTTTCATCTGAAAACACTTTGGAAACCAACTTTTAACTTGTTTTCAGAATAAAGAACCTTGAAAAAAGAAGAGTTTGGTGTACATGAGTCCCTCTTTCCTGCCCCATCCTGCAAGGAGTCTTGCTCTTAGGCTAATAATACTCATATATGGTACACCCATCTTGTAAGTTTCATAATTTTTAGAGAAGAAATTATGAAAAGCTAGTTACCGTTTGGAAACCTAGTTACCATCTGGAACAGCATCTTTCTATATGGAAAGCCATTACAAGCTGGTGGCTGTCTGAATTGGGTTCTGGCCATTATTATATGGCCCAAGCAGATGTGCTCTGTAAATATTCATTTAAGAGTAAACAAATCACTATAGTGCTTTCCAAACTAAAATCCTCAGAACATCACTACCATTATTTTGTTTGCTTCATACCTGGAAGTACTTGGGGAAGCCATCTCTATCATTTTTCTTGTAAAACCTTTTTGGGTCCATGCTAGCTCTCATCTTCAGTGCTTTGAGATCATTTTTCAGTTCATCTGTCAGTTCTGGAGCTTTCATACCAAACCAGCCATCACCTGCTGTTTTTTGTCGCTCTTGCTGAAATTCAAATTTCAGAAACAATTAGAAAATTCTAATTTTAATAAGCAGTGTATAAACTATACCTCACTCCCCCTAAAATTATAAAGAAAATTTCATGAAAAACAAGTAAGGTTACTTTACAGGAATGTATATATTAGTCTCCAGATTCACCTTTCATAAAATGATTAGATCACAAAAAGTGATTTCTCTGATAAATTAGGCACAGCACTGTCAGTTCCTTAAATGAGGGCTCCTTAAAATTTACTTTGTATCTTAGTAAGAACTGCTGACTTGTCGGGAGAGTAACCCACAGCTTCAATTTTTATTGTCTAGAATACCCTACACAAGATGTAATGTATAAAAAACATTTTTACTTCTGGAGCTTTTATGTAAACATTAACACTTTTACTGAGTCACCAAGTTGTCTCAGAAAGTTACTCACTCCAGCAAGTCCAGAAATTTCTATTATTTCTAAAATTCAAAAACTTTCTATTTTTTGAAAACTCCTAGCAAGTTATTTGCTTAATTTCATTTTTTGTTCATTCACACAACAAATATTGGAGTGTTTACCACGTGCCAGGGTGCTCTGGTCATATTAGTGACATTACTGGAGCACCATCCTCAAATTTCCTCTTAAGCTCTCTCAATAATTTCTTTATCCTTATTAGGTGAAATGGAAGTAGTCCCCTGTATTTTACTAAACAAAATACCTTCTATGCTTTCAGTTGGCAGACTAAATAGGCCAGTGTTTTGAATGGTTACATTCAGTTCCCTACAAAAGCCCACAACAGAGCTCCCAGCCTTCTGTGAACAGTACCTATAAGCCAAGAGGTGTGGTGTGGACAGTGACCTCATATGCTGGCTGCCACTGTTTTTAAGGATGGTAAAAAAGAGCTTTCACTTTGTGAAGATCTGTATGAAACGTTGTTTATGGAACCATATTTTACGGCTCTTAGATATCTGTAGCAATTTTCTTTGGAGACGCATATATTTTAACTGTACAGCCATGTTAGATAAACTGAACGTACATCGTCAAACACATTAAACATTCGAAATGATGAGTCACTGTACTCACTCTGCGGTTTTTCTGACGTTGATGCTTTGATTCACTATATCGTGGGACACAGTAGTTTTTTTCAAAATCAGGAGTAATGACGGCTTTCTGCAAAAGCTGCAAAAATATTAAACTGTTTTTAAAATGTCAGAATGTAATTATTGTTTCAACATTATTGCCTTATAAAGGAAACATCTCCCATACTGAAGACTACTCCAGATATATTAACCTTCTATATGGACAAACATACTACTGCAAAGTTGCTCCTGTCCTTAAATTTGTAAATTATATCAAAATAAAAATGCTTTAGAAGACAAACTGAAGGGTTTAGGCAATCTATAAAATCAATATTCATCTCAAATTTCTTTTTCTAATCTGAATCTGCACACACCAGATATACGTTAATGTGTCCACTTGCATTTCATTGGTTTGCAACCAGCCACCTGCACCAACCAACTGGAAACGAAAGACAATAGGAACAATGCCGTAGAGTTCTTGAACTCCCTGGAAAAAAACCTGACTAGGCTTTAATAAGTTCTTCGATGCTGGTAAAACAGCTTTCTGTGATCTGAGGAGACCAGCTAGACTACTGATAAGAAACAGCAGTATAGATTTTGATTAAACAACATATGCTTTTTATGGTATACCAATGAAATTATGCCATCGAGCAAATCTGCTTTTGGCAACCCAACAATATATCAAAGATGCTCTTTCAATGTCAATTCATACAAAGATCAACTTCATTCTTTTTAACAGCTGTTATGCATAATTTTTCTTCTTGATATTTAGTTTAGTAAGTCTCCATTACATTTTCCATGAAACATTGTAAACACCATCTCTGCACACTTGTGATTATTTCTGTAAAACAGATTCCAAAATGTGTCATTTAAATTTTGATAGGGACTACTAAATTGCCTTGCATCCAAGTAGTATAAACTCCTACCAAGAGTTAATCAGTACCATTTTCTTTACATAGCCAACACAGGAGATTATCCTTTTGTGTTTTGTCAGTGGTACTTCATGAATGTTTCCATTTGCTGCTGATCAACTTTTTGTGTATTTATTAGCTATGTATTGTAATATAAGTCTTCTTCTGTGGTATGCCTGTATTTTGGGGGGGGTTATTTTTCATTTTTATACAGGGTTGTGTTCTTATTAATTTGTAGAAATGTATTTTGTATCTTGGTATTAACCTGTGGTCTTTTACTTGTCTTTAAGGTGTTTTTATTTGCCTAAGTTTTAAAATTTTAAGTAGTCAGATCTGTTAATCTTTTCCTAAAGAAAGATTCTGCATTTCTTGTTACTTGCCTAGGGTGATTAAATACTGTCTTAATACTGTGTATGTGACTAAAAGGAACCTGAGCGTTATTAGTCATTTCCCCAGTATAAGAACTAAAGACAGCTGCTCCTTAACCCTCAAAACAGTTCACATGAATACAGCAAATATTAATTTGGTCAATAACATTTGAAATTATCAATTTAGAAGTCAATTATCAATTCAGAAATCCTCAATTCAGGTTCAGGACTAGAAGTTGCTGGGTAGCACAGTAGCAGTCTAGACTTTCCTATCAGAGAAGAGAGCATGACATTTATTTAATAGATTATTAAGAGCTGGTTGTGTGTCAAGTACTATAGTAGGGTTTAGACTGGTTCTCAACTGAGAGCAACTGGCAATATCTGAAGACATTTTGAGGTGGGGGGACAGCGCACTGGTAGAGATGGATGCTACTGGCACCTATGGGGTAGCGGCCAGGGATGCTACTAAAAAATATCCTACAAGGCACAGGACATTTTTCCACAACAAAGAATTATCCAGTCCAGAAATAAAAGACAGTAAAAAAAAACAATGAATACCACATGATCAATAATCACTTAGATCTATACTAGGTGTTGCAGAAGCAGAGAGGAGGTAGGGGGAAGGACTAGGGTCAAAGAATGCTTCCTAAAGGTTGTGATTTATAACCTCTGCATTGGCCTGGGAAGGACCAGGGTGTGTTCAGGGAACTATAGTAATTTTCAATGGTAAGAACACAGCAGGTGGACAGTCAGAGCTAGAGGAACAGAGGCACCTTGAATGCTCTGAGGAACTACTACAGGACTTAAACAGAATATCATGGTCAGATTTGTATTTTTAGAAAAAGAAATCTAGCAAGACCATGGAGGATGGCTTGAAGAAGAGTAAGGAGGCCACTACAATAGTCTAGATGAAAAACACAACAGATGTCACTAGTCAGTGACAGTGAGGTGGAAAGGAGGGGGCAGAGTAGAAAGTATGTAACAAGCACCGTCCCCTAGGCTTAGTTGTTGAGTGCAAAAGGGAAACAGATTTCCCCTTGCAAAAGGAGGAACTGGTTTAGGTAGGGAAGAGAAGGGCAATTAGTGAAGTCAAGTGCCTGAGCACATCTGAATGAACAAACAACAGGCACCTGGATTTAAAGACCTGGGTAGGCTGCAAGGCTAGAAAATACTGATACTAAAGGTTTGGAAGTCATTCAAGGTGACAGCTGAAACTGAGGGTTTGGATGAGGTTACCTAACCTGTAATTTCTTTCTGAAAATATACGTACAATTTTATGTCTATGCGCACATGTGCTTTTTTTTCCTGGTGGGGTTAGTGGGCACTCGCAGCTTTCAGATTTTCAACACAGTCCAAAGCAGTTAAGAACTAAAAGTATAGCAAGAAAAGAAAAAACACAACCCTTGGGATCATAACTGGTGATTGCAAGAAGAGTAACACTGATCCTATATCACTCTAGTTTTCAAGCCTCATCTTCTATAGCTGGGACTTTATAATAAAAAAGAAGAAATGATTGTCCTGGAAAGAGGGAAAAAAGCACAGTAGGCTAATGTGGTTGCACTGTAGGAAAATTAGTCTCTTACCAAGGACTAATCATTTCTAGAAGTGACTGGTTAGTTCTATGAAAACCAATGGGATGCTTTGTACAACTTACCTCATTTTTCTTTTTCTCCTTGATCTGTGTTAGGGTTCTCTTGTTCAACTGTAGCTTGTCTGCATTGACATTAATATACAAACCACCCAGCTGCTTAATACTCAGACCAGGATCTATGCTGCTGCTAGTCAACTTCAGACTGAAAGAGAAATGATCACTTTTAAGTGATTAAGAAATGATCTTTAGATCATTTAGTAATTCAAAATGGAAACAATTGAGACTGTATTTTTTTTTTTTTGAGACTGTATTTTTATTTAGAAGAAAATTATGGGATGAATAATGAATTAAGCCTTTTGGAAGCACATCAAAATTTATTCCCTAGTTTCTCTTAGAAGAGGATTAAGGCCATTATTACATGACAATAGACTTCATAAAGGGATTTTATAAAGAAAGAATTACAGAAAAGAGGAGGAAATACATCTGGCAATTTGCTCAACTTCACATATACGTAGTGAGTTAATATACGTCCACATACTTCCATCTCCAAAGCCAGTGAGAAAGACAGGGTCTTCTACTCCGAACTTCTAAGTTATCCAAATTTGGAATGTTTTTCTGGGTAATTTAAGGGCATTTAGTAGTGCCTCTAAATCAGTGAGTTTTAAACAATGAGCATTCGTACTTTCCACTGGAGCTTTAAAAAAAATATAACTGTCAAACCCTGGATCCACCAAATCAATCTTCTGCAGTTGGCTTGGGCTCCTGCTATATTTCTGTAATAAAAATTTCTACTTTATATTACTGAAGAGTCCTTTTTATAAACAAGTACACTTGGACTTACAGTCAGTTTCTTTCCTAATTATTCATATAAACTGAGCAGTTGAAAGTTTTGATAATCAACCTCTACTGGAAAGTGAAATCATTCAATTGTAGTGCCTTGGCAGTGATTCTCAACCCTGAGTGTACATTACAATTATCCTGGGGAGGAGGTGTGGCTTTTAAAAAATAAGTACACCTGAGACTAGCCTCAGCGATTTCACTGGTTTACAGTGAAGACTAGGCATGTTAATGGATAGTTCCTTACCAAGGATACCTGTATTTCCAGTGGATACACTGCCACCAAGGGCCTGTGCCTAGGAAAAACAAATTTGAAAAACAAACAAAAAAGAAACTAAAGAAATAGCCCCCAAAGAGTGTTTTTCAATGGGTGGTAGATGGGATTATAGGTTATTGTTTTTCTCAGGTTTTCCTCTATTTTTCAATTTCTCTACAATCAACATGTAGAAAAAGCCAAGTTACCTCCCTTCCCTTTTATATGTTGCTCTTAATAATCGTGCAAGAAAACCTTAACAGATGATTTTTTTTTTTTTCTTTTTCTGTGGTATGGGGGCCTCTCACTGTTGTGGCCTCTCCCGTTGCGGAGCACAGGCTCCAGACGCGCAGGCTCGGCGGCCATGGCTCACGGGCCCAGCCGCTCCGCAGCATGTGGGATCTTCCCGGAGCGGGGCACGAACCTGCGTCCCCCACATCGGCAGGCGGACTCTCAACCACTGCGCCACCAGGGAAGCCCCAGATGATTTTTAATGTACCACGAAACGGAGTACTTTTAGCTCTCATTGGTGGGAAAAATATGACTAACAAAGATACCCACATAAACAAGGGAAATGCTGGATAAAAAAGCTCTTCCATAAAGAACCCAAAGTAATAATTTTTTCAATTTCTATGACTAATATTTTTATGGTAAATTAGCCACTTCAAACATGTATCAAAAACTTACTTTAAAAAATAAAGATAAAACTTACAGTTTAGATTTTGTGCTATTTAGTAAGTTGTCTTCATCACTAAACTCATTATCTTTACTTCTGTCACTGTCTGATGGTTCTTCTTCACTTTCTTCCTCCTCCTCCTCTTCTTCCTCAGTAGCAACCTCACTTGCCTTGTCTTCTTCATCCAAGCAAAAATTTTTATCAGTACTCAATCGAGGAGTTGTGTCAATTACAAACAATGCATTGTCAGGTGATGTATTTTCTGAGTCTCCATTTAATGACTCTTTTTGACCACTATTTTCAATGAAACACACAGTGTCCTCTTCATTCTCACTGTTTTCAGACTGCTGGCTTTCATCACTGCTGAGAACTAATAAAACAGAATCATCTTTATCCTGAGATGTGCTGGGCTCAACTTCACACAGTTTGGTATCACACTCAAAATCTACATCCCTTTCTTTGCTCATGTCTTCGCCAACACATATAACTGTGCACTCTTCTTCTTCATCACTATCACCACCATCACCAAGTTCTATCCAGTCACTTGTTTTTATGCTGCTGTTTCTCTCTTCATTCCATCTGTCCACTTCCACAACTGCAAATGTTTGAGCTAACGATTTCATTACAGCCTCACAGTTCAGGTTTGAGGATGCTGAGGTGGTTTTGTTACTTTCAGGGGTTGAATGCCTTTGCGAAACTAACTGCTGAAGGCTAGTGTCCTGAAGTTCAGAAAGACTTTTCAACTGAGAATTTTTCTCATTAATTTCTTTTCCCGCATCTATTATTCCTTTGGCTTCTTCCTCTAAGCTCTTACAATTCTGCTTTGTTATTTCTTTGAGAGGTGAAACACTGTCTTGTTTTTCCTCTCTTATATTAAAACTTTGGTGTTTTTGCACTATTACTTTTTTTCCTGAATTTCCAAAGGAGTCATTATCAGGGTCATCATAAGTTTCATTATTAGAGATATTTGGCTTATTTATCTGAGAAAGCAATCCTGCTAGTAAACGAGAAGTTCGTCTGGTATCTGAATCCTCTAAATTCACAGGTGTATTTATGATTTGCTTTTCATTTCCTGGTACAATCTTAGTATCATTCTCCTCAGTCTGTGCCTGTAATTTCCTTTGCATACTCCTTGTTGTTCTCCTAGTTGCAATTCCAGAAAATGAAGAAATGTCTGAGCATGATGACTCAGCATCAGAATTAGCTTCCACATGGGATTCTTGGTTTGGATCGGTTCGGGATTTAGCCTTACTTCTCCTGGTTCTTGTTGTTATTTCTGTGGGATGCACAATTCTAGAAATACCTGAAATATGTGATTCTGCTTCAGAGACTTCTTCTTCAGTATGAGACTCACTTACTCGAGTTATTTTCAGCTTTTTCCTTACACTGGAAACTGGGGTGCCTGCAATTAAGATCTGACTTCTCCTAGTTACTCTTAAAATGGGATCCTGGGCCTCAGACACAGAAGAACAGTTTGACTCTGCTTCAGAGATCTCTCCATCAGTAGAAGGTTTGTTCATTCCTGGTAATGAACCTGTAGTTCCGCTCTTCCTCTTCCTGGTTTTAGGAGCTGGACTTTGTTCCCTACTGGTCTGTGACTCAGCAATACTTGGGTCATCAGATGGAGATTCCTTCCAGCCTTTTGGATGTGCGTGAATTCTTGAGGCAGCAGAATTCTACAAGCCAGTGAAAATACACTGTGATTTAGGTAGGGATGGGACAAGGGCAAAGTGAATGAGGCACTCCCCTCAGAAGCAAATTTTAAGAGGGCACTAAAAACCTCAGTAAACAAGATTAATGCAAAACAATAACAACAACCATCACCACCCACAATTAAAAAAAAAATCAATACTTAAATACTGGATCTGACTGCATTTGCAGGCCCTGCCTCACTAGCGTCACCTAAGTCCTGGATCTGACTTTAGGGAACAAAACAAATAATTGAAAAAGAAAATTTTCTCCACTCAAAGTCACATATGCTAGGTGGACCTACATTCCGACATAACATATAGGAAAAGACGAAAGATGGAATCGGTCGCGGTGCTTACGTTTTCATACCTAAGCGAATTAATGCTCCCTTCCCTTCATCGCAGTATCAGAGGCAGCGGACGACTAACGCCACTGAATTACTAGCTGGCGTCACCACAGCCCTCCCCACGCCAGAAGGAGGTGCTGTCGAGGCACAGCCAGTCTTCCCACGTGAAAATGGTGCCTCCTCCATCCAATCCAGCTAATGAGGCTCACGCTTGGTGACCGAAATTAATCCTCCTTAGTACGGTGTTAGCAGTAAGATTAAAAGGCCTGAGCTGTACATCGGCATTACGGAGCTGAACTACCGCAAAATAAGTTACTTAATCTCTCTATTCCCTGCCAAGCATTACGTTAAAAGACCCTAGTGAGGTCTGAGGAGGAAGCTACAGGCTTAGCGCGGAGCCTGGTACACAGCTGCGCGCTGCCAGTTCCGGCTTTTCTGCCGCTCCTCCCCAGGCTCCGCGGGACCCCAGCGCCACCCACCTCCCTGAGCACCGTTCTGCGAACCAGCGAGAAGAAATGAGGGAGCCTTGAGATCTCCTACCTTCTGCTGGGAGCTTTCAACTGACGTGGTTTGGATCCCGGCCTGAGGCCGCGCGGACCTAGTAACCACCATCCTCCAGGCTTGCAGCCGCCGCGGCGGCCCCACCGCGCTCCGGAAGTGCGTCAGAGAAGCGCCACACTCGCGTTTTCCCGCGAGAATCCCGGAACTCGAGAACTCGTACCGCCTCCGCCCCTCCGACCTAGGCCAAGGCTGTCTCACCCCGGGAGCCGGAAGGAGACGGGTATTAGCGTTCACGGCAGTGCGGTAGAAGACCCAGCAGCCTTGTGTAGGGAGAGACCTTCCCGGCGTGGCCTAGGGCCCTCGTCCCCGTTACACACGAACGAATTGGAAAATAGCATCATCTGTGGGAATGTAAATTGATACAGCCACTATGGAGAACAGTATGGAGGTTCCTTAAAAAACTAAAAATAGAATTACCATATGACCCAGCAATCCCACTACTGAGCACATACCCAGAGAAAACCATAATTCAAAAAGACACATGCACCTCAGTGTTCATTGCAGCACTATTTACAATAGCCAGGTCATAGAAGTAATCTAAATGCCCATGGACAGACGAATGGATAAGGAAGATGTGGAACTATATACAATGGAATATTACTCAGCCATAGAAAGGAACGAAATTGGGTCATTTGTTGAGATGTGGATGGATCTAGAGACTGTCATGCAGAGTGAAGTAAGTCAGAAAGAGAAAAACAAATATCGTACATTAATGCATATATGTGGAACCTAAAAAAATGGTACAGATGAACCGGTTTGCAGGGCAGAAATTGACAGATGTAGAGAACAAACGTATGGACACCACCGGGGGAAAGCAGCGGGGTGGTGGTGGTGGTGGTGGTGGTGTGATGAATTGGGTGATTGGGATTGACATGTATACACTGATGTGTATAAAATGGATGACTAATAAGAACCTGCTGTATAAAAAAATAAAATTAAAAAAAAAAAAGAAAATGGCATCATCTGCTCTACTACGTCCATCCTCTCATTTGTTCAGCAGAGGTCTTAGTGCAGCCATGGGTATGGCCGAAGGAGACGTTTGCATTATTTATAATACCTTAAAAAAATCATGTACTCTTGTATTACTTGTGAAGTTAAATATAAAATAAAATTTAAAGACGTAATTCGGGTAAAGGATGTATATGTTAAATGCCCAGGAATTCGGAGGCTAGTTAGGAAGCTATATAATTTAAAGGTGCAATGGTGAGTAGAAATTGGGAATAAGCAGAATAGAAGAAATGTTAAATTGTAAAGGAGAGAGATTTAAAAAAAAAGTTTTTGCAGTGAAAGGAAGAGAATGACTAGAATCAAGAGACACTTTGATTTTTCTTTTAGGATAAAGGGTGGAGAGCTAGGATATGTTTGAGGGTAATGGAAAGGGATTGAGGAAGTAAGTAAACAGTCGTTGGAGATGAGAATGAGCACCTCATCAAATCTCCCTTACTTTAGAACAGAAAACCAATTTTTTTTTTCTTAAAGTCACAAAGTACAGAATTTTCTGTGGGCAAACTGCCATTCAGCTAAATAGCTCCTTTCATAGTTCCTCTTGCAGCCAGATACAGCTAGGTTTGGACTAATTACGGATCAGTTAAGTGTTGTGTAGTTCTCTAGGGACATCTTAAAAGAGAGGAGGTCCTCCTTGCCTTCTTTAACTTCATTTCACTCTGTGGAAAGTTGTGTTCCCTGGTTTTCAAGCAGCAATCTTGTGCCATGAAGATGAGGGCCATGCTTTAAGGATGGCAGAGCAGTAGCAAAGAAAAAAACTGAGTTTCTGACAAGTTGTGGAACTGCTGTATCAGTTCTAAATAGCCTAATTTTGGAGCTGTTTCACCTGAGAAAAACACCTCTTTTTAAACCAGTTATTTGGGGGTTTTCTGTGTTTTGCAGCAAGCCTAATCCCAACTAAAGAATGGAATTAAAAAATGGAGATGGAGGAGTTAGCCACAAAAGAATGCTCCTTCCTTTGAGGCAAGAGGGAAGAGTTGATAATTGAAGCAGAGAGGAGACTATAAATGCAGGGAAATTAAAGGGGGAAGAAAAGGAGGGGATTTGAGGTAGATAACAATCTCTGTAAGAAGGTGATTCATCTGCTCAGAAGAATGAGAAAAGTTTAGATTGACTGTCATGGGGAATGTGGTAAGGAGCAAAAAGAAGGAGTTTTAGTAGGGCCAAGTAGCAATGAGAGTAGGTAAGAGAAAGAGCAGAAGACGGGCTAAATCTGAAGAGGATGTGGAGTGGTGTAGAGGAAGGAAGATGAAGCAACTGGAGGTGGGTGGTGGAGACAACAGCATCAATCGTAGTAACAGTAGAGCACATACTGTATGCTGGGTACTAAGTGCTTTACATACATTAACTCATTTAATGTATATGGCAACTTTAACATGAGCAAATGCATGAAAATAGAGATTAAGATCACAGGAGTGGGTGTAGAAAATTGGGAGAGTATTAGAACACCAGTGTGTACTGTTCACTTACAAGCACGGCCCCTTTAAAATGAAACAAACCAAAAAACCACTCCCAAATATTTACAATCTAAAAAGTTCAAGAAACAAACATTAAATACTAAGATTAAAATGTTAGTACGTATTCATAATATAAGAAGACTGAGCTGGTCTGCTGATCAGGGGCAAAACTGCAAAGTATTTTTTTTGTTTTATGCGAGCTTACCAGGTCTGCCATGTTTCCCTATCTCTACCTTCTTTACCTGCTTTCTTCTTTACCCAAAGTGGATTTGGGGAAAATACAGTATAAAAACACAGTAATTATTACACAGGCCCAAAGGGAAACTCTCCCATGACTGTCTATATTTTGCTAACTAAAACTCTTATAGGGTTGAATCTCTCTCTGGAATTTTAGGCATTAACCAAAAGATGAGCGTTTTAGTGCATAAGCCTTCTAAAAGTACATTTTGCATTATTACATAGAAAACATTACTTTTAAATTAAGTTTGACGGGTAAGATGGTCTCCAATGATCCTATCCTCTGGTCTTCATACCCTTGAGTATGGGCTTATAATGAAAAGTGACTTATAATGAAAAGAATGTAACAAAAGTGATGGGTGTCACTTTCAAGATTAGGTTACAAAAAAAGTTGGCTTCCATCTTGCGATTTCTCACTTGTTCATTCTGTGCTTGTTATGAGCTGCCCTACGGGGAGGGCCATGTGGCAAGGAAGTGAGGGAGGCCTCTGGCTTACAGCCAGAGAGGAACTGAGTCCAGCCAACAACCTCACGAGCGAGCTTGGAAGCAGACCAACCTCAATCAAGCGTACAGGAGAGACTAGAGTCCCAGATGACCCTGACTGCAACATTTTGAGAAGCCTTGAGGTACCCAGATGCAACAGATACTACAGTCAGTATTAATTTTGTCTGTTCTAAAAATTTCATGTAAAGGAAATCATGTATTTTCATGTCCAGCTTCTTTTACTCACTGTATTTCTGAGACTCATCCATGTTATTTTGTATACCAGTAGTTATTTTTTATTGATTATACTTCAACTATCCATTCAACTGTTGATAAACATGTGGGTTGTTTCCAGTTTTCAGCTATTATGAAGAAAGTGCTATAAACATTCATACATGGCTATTTCAAATATATGATTTCTCTTGAGTAAATACCTAGAAGTGGAATTGCTGGGTCACATGGTACATGCACGTTTAATTTTGTAAGAAATCCCAAGTGATTGTATTGATACCATTTTACAGTCCCAACAGCACTATGAGAGTTGCTTCCTCCACATCCTTGCTGCACTTGGTACTGACAGTTTTTTAAAATTTCAGCTATTTTAGTGATAGTTCATTGTGGTTTTAATTGGCATTTCCCTGATGACTAATGATGTTGAACATGTTGTATATTCTTATTGACTATTCGTGTCTTCTTTGGAGAAAAATATGCTCTAACATTTTGCCTTTTTATTGGGTTGTCTTAAGCTGTAAGAGTTCTTTACACATTCCAGATACAAGATTCTTATCAGATATATGATTTTCAAATATGTTATCCTATTTTATGGGTTGCCTTTTGACTTCCTCGATGGTGTCTCTGAAGTTTTTTAGAAAATTTATTTTATTGAAGTATAGTTGATTTACAGTGTTGTATTAATTTCTACTGCACAGCAAAGTGATTCAGTTATATATATAAATATATATATACATTCTTTTTCACATTCTTTTCCATTATGGTTTATCTTGATGGTGTTTTTGAAGTGCAATTTTAAAAATTTGATTATGTCCAATTTATTTTTCATGAGAAATATTTATTACAAGTATTTCATCCCAGTCTGTGGCTCACATTTTCACATTTTCAAAATACACTGTTTTCTTAAGTATATTTTGAAGAACAGAAGATTTTAATTTTGATTAAATCTGGCTATTGATATTTTCCTTTATGATTACTTTTTTGGTGTTATCAGAAAACTCAGAAGCCCGTTTTCATTTTCTTTCTTTATTCTAATTTCATACACATAAAAATGAATAGAATACTTCAAATGAAAAAAACGTGACCAGAGGGAAAAACAGATTATTTCTAGGGAAGAAAATCCAGGTTTTCATTTGCAAGAGTATAAATGCTGGAAATCAATAGAATGTTATCTTCAAGATGCTGAGGTCAAGTGTTTGGAAACTTAGAGTTCTATAATGTCAAATGATGATTTAAGACTGTTAATAAAATAAAGATATTTTCAGACAAACAAGACCTAGGAGGTTTACTGCCCAAAGACCTTCAGTGAAAGAATTACTAAGGATATACTTAAGAAAAAAGTAAATGTAAATGGAGTAGGGGGCAAGAATCAACAGTGAGCAAAGAACAGAGGAAACAGAGCTGAGTCCAAATAAATAATGCTTATTGTAAAACATGAGCCTTCTTAAAATAATGGACCAAAACACAGACCGAAATCTTGTATGACGCTTTATACATTTATTCATTGCTGAGGGATACATATTAAGGTTTTGTTTGACTTTTCTGGTAGTGAAACCACATAAGCTATATCCTAATATATTTAGGGGATTGGGGCAAGTTTCTGTCTCTCTTTTATAAAATGTGACTTTTCAAACCTTACCTACTCTTGTCTCACTAGAAGCCATTCCTTTCTATCTGGCAAGAACAAGCTCTTGAAGAAAGTGTTTTCACAGGATTTCTGAAGTTTACATATAAACTGTTCATTATTCAGTATCAGTGTATTTACAAACCAGGCATACCCCCACCCCATCTTACGATCCTACTCTGAGGCTAGTTCCTGCAGGGGAGCCTTTCTCGTCCTTATGCTGCTTCCCAGCAGTCCCACTCCTCCCACATGACCCCACTCCCTTTTCACTGCTTCTGTCATTAACAGATGCAGCC